GGGCCCTGCCTCCACGGAGGCGGGCGGTAGGGGGTGTGGACCCTTCTGCCGCCCAAAGGAGTAGTGGACTCCCCCCGCGGGGGGAGTCCCCCCTCCCCCACACCATCGGGGGAGGGAGCGCGAGGCCCGCCTGCTAAACAGCGGCCCGGTGCGGGGGGGGCGCCCAGAAGTAATGGCTCTGCCACATCCTGGGCGTCCCCCAAGTAAAGCACAGCGCAGTCCACCGTGTGGTTTTAGTGCGGTAAGCCCAGCGGTCGCAAAGCTAGCGGCCGCACCCGATCGCCATTAGGGGGGCAGTCCCACATAACCCGGGCCAACTTGTAAACTCCCTTCCCAGAGGGGGGACCGGGTATCCATAAAGGATTTCCACACGTAAAAAAAAAAAAAAGAGGTATAAAAGGTTCACGTGCTTCTCCTTCTTCTCATTGGTAACTCGTAGCGGTACGACTGTGCATTCCTTCTTCTTCTCGACGCTGTATACGTTGATGGAAATATTGTTCAGTTGTTCAAATTTTTTCACTTGGTTGAGTGTCATTGGAAAGCTAATGTCTCGCAGGTTTAGCACGTCGCTGTAATGCGGATACGACGATTTACGATCAGCGTTTCTTTCAGCCGGATAGAGAGCGGCGACCACCGACCACGCGAAACACGCATTGTCCTTTGATCGTACGTTGATCACTGCTTTCTTCCGTTTCACCACTTCTGGCATGTCTATATGGCATCCCGCGCGCATAGGATTGCACTTGTTCACATTAATAGTTACGTTGTGTATACGCGACAGCGCCCACCCGCTATCACGCTCCTGGAATTCTTCGAGTTCGGTTAGAATCGGACCGATTACGCGCGACTTGTACCACAGTTGTAGGTCCGTTGTAATAAACAGTTCATAGTTTTTTGTATTTATGCTTTTATTCGCACGTTTATCACCTGCCACAAACTCCCCGTTGAACACGGTATTCACCTTTACACAATTATAGCGCTCGATAGCGTCTCGCACGTGCTCGACCACTACATCGCGAGCGTCCTCGAGAAATTTCCGCGGCTCGATGTACTCCACGTTAATCACCACACCGGTAAGCACGCGACTGTCAAATGCGGTGTCGATCTCGCGCCACGACAGTTGCGCTCTCGAAGAAAGTCCAACACTCGCGTAATCATCGCCGCCACCACCACCACCGAAATGTACGAATCGTTGTTCCAGTTGTTTTTTTACTCCCTCGAGTCACGCGATTTGCGCCACCAGAGATTGTCTATCGCCGATGGACAGCCTTGGACGCTTGGTACGGCTACGTTCTTCGAGTTTCGCGATGCACTCGTCGCATTGCAGAATCCACGCGAAATAGTCGCCCATGGTAGCAACCTCGTCGACTCGCGCCACCAGATCTTGATCCATGTTGTCGCACATATTTCCCAAGTCACTCTTTTCACATTCGCTGAAACTGCTTCACTCGACTGACGGACTTTGAAATGTGGAACTATAAGCTAACCTACGATATACATACTTTTTACCCCCTCTTCGTCTTTTCGACCAGATCTTCGATTTTGAACGTGTCTGCGCACAAAATATTATCTTTATGACCCTTGACCATGTTTTCTCTTTTGAAATGTGGGATTATAAGCTTACCCCTCTTTGCCTTTTTCAATCCAGACCCTTGACCATGTTTTCTCTTTTGAAATGTGGGATTATATTTTTACCCCCTCTTTGCCTTTTTTGACCCAGACCCTTTCCCCAAGAAATGAAAACCAAAAGGATTCCAATCTGTTTTTCTAACTTAGAACTTGGTTTTGCTGAATTATTAGAGAAATATAAGAATTTCCGGTCAGTTCCTTGTTAGGAAATCAGGTATTTGCACATGTCAGGATTGTCAGATTATATCGATGCTGAAAGATTGTATTTCAACAAGGAATCCGACTAGTAAATCCGGCCGAATTCCTATTTAAGTTTTACTGACCGGAAATCCTTTTTAAAAGTGAGACGTTTTCCCAATCGGATTCTAATAATAACTGAGGAAAACCTACCGGATCCCTGCTTAAATTTCCACACGAGATGTTTTCTCTTTTGAAATGTGAGATTATATTTTTACCCCCTCTTTGCCTTTTTTCGACCCATTGGTAAATTTTACCTCCATCCTTTTCACATAGATGCCATTTTAAAATGTGTTGTTCATCTACAGCATATTGAACGTTCTTTTGAAATGTGGGATTATAAGCTTAGCTAAAAGGATTTAAAATCTATTCATGCATCAAGACGAACCGTAATATTTCTCCTCTCGACGTGTTCAAACGAGTCTCGACGTGTTCAAACAAGTTTCGACATGTCCATACCAACGTATACATCTTCGCCTTGATCTTATATGTATGGGTAGGAAGCAGAAGAAAAAAATGTTAGTGGATGAAAATTTTATTTATTATACAATTATTAATTTTTTTCGTTCATCACCGCGTTTTAAGGTTTCAGCAATAAGTTCATCTACAGCACAAACTATTAATTCACAATCTATGACAGAAGTTTTATCATATACCTCGTACAGTATACCAATTGCATCATCTCTCTCCTCTCTCCCTCGCATATAGCCCTACGTTGTCGCTCTTCTTCTTATTATCTACTTGGGAAGGGAAGATAGAATGGATTGGAAGAAAATGTATGCCATTAAAAAAATTTTAATCTCATTTTGTTTGCGATTCGTAATTTCAGATTTTCAGAATTATAATTGTTTGCGAGAATTACCCTTAATTATTAGTCTTAGGTTCGGACTGGATTTATTACGTTCAAATGAGTTATCGCGTGTGCAAGGGCGACCACGACGGCAGGATAACAGCGCTTGCCGAGTGGCCGTTTGTGACTACGCGCACAAAGAGCTGTTCGTTTAACCGAAACATGAGCTGATCTGCCTATGTGAGCTTGACGAGCCGTTGCCGAGCGTACAATAATACCGAAACTGACTCTGGCGAACCGCGAGGCCGTCGAGCACGAGGTGGCAGCGCACTTGGTGCACTCGCCTTGAGGATGTATCAGAAAGTCTTCATTAGTCACTACAAATGTGTGATTATCACTCGCGGTAAGCTTACAGTCACACCGAGCCGTCGCTGCGAGAATCTACTACCTTAGATCGCTAGCTATGAACTAAAGGAATGTCCTTTTCCGGAAGCAGCGCCACGCATGGGCCTGCTGGTTCAAACTTCATGACCCGGGAGGTGCTGCCACCCCCCGGGTCGTCTCAAGTCACGCGCGTATCCGCGCGCACGTCGAGCGAGCGTAGTGCGGCGGCAACCACGAAACATATTTCGCGAACATTCCGCCCGCCATCAGCGAGTGTTGCTGATGCTAGGCCCCTGAGCGAATTCGCAGCGGGGCGAGCTTGACGATGGGCCGGGTGAGCGTTGTCGTCGCCGTTTTGATAGTGACGATCCTGGTGAGTCCATCCTTTCCTGGATGCAGCTCCAATACTCTTGCTAGGGGCCATTTCGATGGAGGCATTCTCTCATCCGTGAGCAGCACCAGTGACCCGACCGTAACGTCGTTGGTAGGATGGTGCCACTTGGAGATCGCCTGTTGTCGCTGCAGGTAGTGAGACGACCATTGCGACCAAAACTGCTGGACCCTCTGTTGGATGAGCTGCCAGCGAGATAATCTAGAAGTCGAAATGTCAATGAGTGATGGTTCTGGTATGGCATTGAGCGCTGAGCCCACAAGAAAATGTCCAGGAGTGAGTGCCGATATATCGTCAGGGTCGTCACTCAAAGGCTCGAGTGGCCTGGAATTGAGTACTGCCTCAATTTGGGTGAGCAGGGTAGAGAACTCTTCAAAGGTGAGCGGAGTTTCGCCAATTGTGCGTCGTAAGTGAAACTTGATAGATTTCACTACGGCTTCCCATTTTCCTCCCGTATGGGGAGATGATGGCGAGTTAAATCTCCAAGATGTTCCCTTGGTCGAGAGTGTAGCCGTGAGATCTTTAAATTCTTTGGAGCTGTCCTTGAAGAGCTTCTTGATAGCCGTGTCGGCGCCGACGAAATTTGTCCCGCAATCTGAGTACAATACCTCTGCGGGCCCTCTTCGTGATGAGAATCTCCGGTAGGTTGCCAGAAATCCATCGGTGGAGTAGTCACTGACCACCTCCAGATGGACAGCCGAGGTCGTCATGCATACGAACACGCACATCCAACCTTTGTGAACCTTTGAGCCTCTGCCCTTCCAGGTTTTGAGCTGGATCGGTCCTGCGTAATCCACCCCCGTGTGCGCAAAAGGTCTCGCTGGGGTGACTCGTGCCATGGGGAGTTGACTCATGAGTTGTTGAGCTCGCACGCCTCGTTGACGAGCGCACACGACACACCGTAAGATGTGAGATTTGACTGGAGCTCTTCCTCCGAGTATCCAGTACGTCAGGCGGATCCTTGCCAGAGTAAGCTGAGTGCCTCCATGTAGAGTCGTCTTGTGAGCGTGGTCGATGATAAGCGCCGATAATTGAGAATGGCGGGGTAGAATAGCAGGATGTCTTTTTTCAAAATTGAGTTGCGCTTCATTGAGTCTGCCTCCAACTCTGATGATGCCGTTGTCGTCGATGAAGGCTGTGAGTCTTGAGAATGCGTGAGTGGGGGCTAATGGAGATCCCCTTTT